GATGAAGGGTCTAGGCCCGAAACGTCAGCCTCTCTGCTCCTATGATGCTGCTTGGCCTGCTGTGTTCATCCAGCCCTGCACCTTGTTGTCTCGGGGTCTCAATAGAGTTGGAAGCTTCAGTAAATGTCTCCTGGCTGCTTTGAATTTTCTCTTGATGTTTCTCTTTCCTCCTGGATTGGAGAATTGCATGTGAGAATGTATTTCTGAATTTGCCTTTTCACCAATGGGTGTGTTTGTAGGGTGTTACTATATCGGAACAGTTAGTTAATAATAGTTACGTATCTGTTATTTGGTTAAGTCTTCCAATAGAGTTAAGTTATTATAAGTTCTTCATTTTGTTTGTATTTTAACTATAGGCTTTAAATAAATTTGTTTTTACTTAACGTCAAGTAATTTGACCAGTCCCATTACAACCGGAACACACCACTTCACATTTGCCTTTAAAATAAGAAAAACTTAGGGTCTACCTTCTTAAAATAATTTGAGGGGGTCTGGTCTTATCCATAATACAGCTTACCTTCTTCAGGGCATTTAGGGATGCACAATAAATTTTGGCCCAACCAGCAATGCTGGAAATATATGCACTAAAAACCAGCTGGATTTATGCTGATATCACACAGTCGTAATTGGAATTGGGGTTGATGTGGTTGGATTTCCTGTCATGAGTTCATTCCTTCGCCATTCCATCTTTGCATCAGAGTGGAATTTGGGGTTGCAATGAAACTAGGAAACCTGTTGCGATCAGATCCCCGCTTCACAATATTGTAAAAAAGGATTTGCAGTTACGGTGCATCCCATAACAATTAAATGTCTCAAAGAGCTGAAGGGGCCCCTAAAATGTGTACACTCTGACAGTACGGCAATTGCACAGTACTGCACTGGAATGCCTGCTTTGAATTCTCTCAAGCCTTGGTGGGAATTTAAATTTGACGACTTGTAACCCAGACAAAAGACTTCCTCTTCCTCATTCCATTCTTCTTTCCCTATCCATGAGATTTTGCTCCTCATTTGAAATATTGCAACACTCCAGTCGGAACAGCAATGTCCAAGTGACACAGAGTCCGTGGACTGTGAATGATGTAATCCTGGACAACAATCGATTAAATAAAGAGAGTCATCAGGGTGAAGGTACAAAACTGTACCTAAGTGATGTAGGAAAGAGCAGAGAGATTCACTAATCTAATCCCATTGTTCCCATATCATCATTTTAAACCCTAACAACATCCAGAATGTGAGGGAAAATTTTGATTCCACAGATTCAGAAGTTAGGATTGATTGAGGACAGTGAACTTCAGTGGTGAATTGTCAGATGTTCAATGGTTCTGGAAAGTGAAATCCTTCACTCCATCTTGCTCTATCTATTTACTATATTCCCATGGGGTTAGGGTTCTATTCTACCCCTACTAATTGTCTCAGAGCTCAGTCTTTCTCTGTCTTAGGATATCTTATTTATCTCCAGACCTCTTTTTTGCCTACACCACAATTCTGCCTCAGCAGTCCCAAGACATCCCATCTGTTCCAAGACAACTCCTTGTTTGTTCCAAAACACCCCTGTCTGCTCCATGACCTTTCCCTGTCTGCTTTGATGCATTCCTATCTGCTCAAGACTCCTCCCTGTCTACCTGAGATACCGCAGCGTGTTCCAGGATTTTCTGCCAAATGACCTGTTCTCTGGCTTCCAGCTTCCCTAAGCCCTGACTGTGGATTGACACTATTCCACAAATCAAGTTGTGCGGAAATGAATGTGGGGGAAAGAGTTTGCATTTTAGGGACTAAGTGTACGAGTTTCTATTCAGTCTTATTCCACTTCTGATCACCCCTGCAGGTCGAGGCCTGTTCCAAACATTGCAGTTCAGAATACGGGCAATGTCTACTGCTATGCCCTCGTACAATTTTGAGACTCTGCATGTCTCGCAAGCAAGAGACAGTGTGCTGCATGTGGAATTGAACAGACCCAAGAAGAGGAACGCAATGAACGACATGCTTTGGAGGTGACTGCAAATTTTGTTGAATGATGTTTAACAATGAGTAACACTGATCTATTCTTGGTTAAAGGGATTGCCTGTTTTAACACTGAGTACTCATTGATTAAAGGGATCCCTCACTTACCTTTGATTAACTGCTCATTAAGGGGACTTCTTGATGTAATAAGCGTGTGAGACCAAAAGATCATAGGCTTGGTCCTTAGTCTATGTTGCTTGAGCAGTGGTACCAATGGTACGAGCATTGTAGCACGCCACCTAAAAGTGGTAGCTACAGAAATAATGGATGCATTGGTTGTAATTTTCCAAAAATCCTTGGATTCTGGAGAAATAACCAGAGGATTGGAAAACTGACAATATGACACCTCTATTCGAAAAAGGAGGGAGACGAAAAGCAGTAATTGTACATAGTTATAGTTTATAGGGTAAATGCTGATTTAGATTAACATCCACTGTTGGAAAAGTATTGGAATTGATTATTAAGGAAGTAATAGCAGAACATTTGAAAAATCATAATGTAATCAAAGAGAGTCATGAAAGAGTTATTACAGTTTTTCGAAGAAGTCTCAACCAAAGTGGATAAAGGGAAACCAGTGGATGTGTTATATTTGGACTTCCAAAAGACATTTGACAAGGTCCCTCACAAAAGGTCAAGTCAGAAGATAAGAGGCTACCGGGTTGGAGTTAGTATATTAGTGTGGATAGAGAATTGGCAGGAAGCAGCAGGTCAGGGATAGGGGATTCTTTTTCAGGTTGGTAACCTGTGACCATTGGGGTTGTACAAGGATCAGAGCTGAGACTACAACTGTTTGCAATAAATATTAATGACTTGGAAGAAAATGAATGTACCATTAGCCACATTTGCAGATGACATTAAAATATGTGGAAAGACAGGTTGTGCGAGGGATACAAACAGTTCACAGAGACATATTGATAGGTTAAGTAAGTGGGCAAAAAGTTGGCAGATGGAGTATAATTTGGAAAAATGTGAAGTTGCTCATTTTGAAGGGAGAACAAAAGAACAATGTTATGTAAGTGGAGAAAAACTGCAGAAAGTTGCAATGCTAGGAAATTTGGTGGGGCATTTGTGTATGAACCACAGAAAGCTAACACACAGGTACAGCAGGTAATCGGGAAGTTTGATGGAATGTTGATCCTTACTAAAGGGGATTGGAAGATAACAATAGGGAAGTCTTACTGCAACTGTACAAAGTGCTGGTGAGACCACATCTGGAGTACTGAGAGCAGTTTTGGCCACCTTATTAAAGGAAGGATATCATTTCGTTGGAGGCAGTTCAGCAAAGGTTCACCAGGATGATCCCTGGTATGAAAGAATTGTCTCATGAGCAAAGACTAATCAGGTTGGGACTCATTGAAGTTTGGAAGAATGAGTGGTGATCTCATTGAAACGTATGGGATTTTTACAGCCTTGTTGAGGTAAATTTTACAGGTAAATGCTTAGCAGATGTTCCCCTTCATGGACCAGAGGTAGTAGTCTCGAATAAAGGGGTGCCATTTTAAAGTTAAAAAGAAGAGGAATTTCTTCTGTGAAGGTTGTGAGTCTTTGTAACTCTTTGCTAAAGAGACCAGTGGGACAATAGTCCTTGTGTACATTTAAAGCTGAGATAAATTCTTGATCAGTGGATTACAGGCAAAGGGCAGGAAAGTGAATGTGAGGAATGTCGGATCAGCCATGGTCCTATTGAAGGTGGAGCAGGTTTGAGGGGCCGAGTGGCCTACTCCTGTTCCTATTTCTTGGGTCTTATTGTTAGGGGTTCCACTGTAGGAAGGGTATATCAGACAGTTTCCTACCCAGGCTCCTTTCTGGAGAGAATAACCACAGCATGTGAATTGCTTATTAGAATCTTTAAACTGGTAAAATGTTCATAGGCTTCTAAAGGGTTATCAAATTAAATTTGACACGAGTCTCAAAAGGAGATTTTCGGATAGGTGAGAAAAAAGTTGGTAAAAGTAAGTGTTAAGAAGCGTCTCAAAAGAGGAAGGGGAGGTGGTCAGGCAGAGAATTTAAGGGGTGAATTCCACAAGTTAGGGCCCTGGCAGCTGACTGCCAATGATAGAGTGATTGAAATCAGGACTGGTAAAGAGCCAGAATTGGAGCACAGCGATCTTACGAGTTTTGAAGGTGGAGGAAATTTCAGAGATAGAGAGAGGTCAGGGCTGGAGGATGTTACAGAGTTTGGGAGGGGTCTGAGGGCTGGAGGAGGTTACAAAGATAGGGAGGGGCCTGAGGGCCAGAGGAGGTTACAGAGATAGAAGCTTATAGGGGCCAATGAAAGAACCAGATACTAAATTAGCTGATGGGATTCAAACATCAGTTGTCCGTTTGTTATATCATGGTTATAATATCCAGGTGGATTTATTATCTTGCCATTACTGTTAGTGATGCTGACCTACCTTGTTGTTTCCAGCCACTCACCCTGACTTCACACCCCATTGCTTTCTCCAGCATAGTAAGTTGTTTGCTGTCTAGTAAGTGCTACCTAAATAACTTGAACCCTTAGCTGTTGGTGGCATTAAACCTTGTGTGCTACAACAGTAATGACACTGTCTTGTTCCAACAGAGAGATGGTGGAATGCTTTAAAAGAATCGCCCATGACACTGACCACAGAGTTGTTGTTGTATCAGGAGCTGGAAAAATGTTTACTGCAGGTAAGTGTGACCTTAAGCTTCAAAAAAATCAGCTATGGCATATATGACACATAAAAATTCATATTTTCAAATCCTCTGATGCTGCTGTGTTCTACGCCTTGTTATCTCAGATTCTCCAGCATCTGCAGTTCCTACTATCTCTGAAACTATTCTAATAGATCCCCCAGTTTGATAGGGGAGAGTGTTTGAGGATGAACAGTAACACAAGTTGGATGGTTTAAATGCCCTACCTCTGGACTGTAATTTCTCAAATCCTGTTTTAACTTCAGCAGCCTTCCTAATCAGTGATGACAATAGTGATTGTAACAAGGAGATGGCTAATTATTGCATATTGATGCTGAATCGAATCAGTCAATGTGCTGATGTTTGCAGGAATTGATCTGATGGACATGGCTGGAGACGTATTGCAGCCTCCAGGAGATGATACAGCAAGGAAGGCCTGGCACATGAGGAACAAGATTCTTCAATATCAGGAGAGCTTTAACGTGATAGAAAAGGTATGACCTATGACTGTCATTCCACCAGGATCCTTCCTGGTTCAGTCTCAGAATCAAGTTGCAGTTTGCACCTGGACGCCAAATCGCAGTTCACATGTGGATTCCAAGTCACAGTTCACAATCACAGTCATGAAATCCTAACCCTATTTTTGCACGACCAGTGCAAGACAGCTCAAGCTAACAATAATCATGTTAACAAGCTGAAATATGTTTCCACCCCAAACTCTTTCACACAGACACCCATCCACAGCTGCATGCACCTGTGCATGCTCACAAATAACCCACATGCATGTTTATATACATACATGCATACACCCCTGTGGACACGCACACCCACAGATTCCACGTGTGGAGTATGTGCACGTGGCCGCAGTGCTGCCTCCATCAACCCACCACCTGCCCAAAGGGAAAGCGTAAAATGAAATCCTTTGTTCTAATCTCTACATAGCCCCATGGTCTTCTGGGACAATGGTGACTTTACCTTACATACTACCCTTAAAAAATTCTCTGGTGGTTTAATTGGTGTTTTGTGTTTAATAATTGCCGCGGTGTGTGAGTGAAATTTCACTGCAGCATGTTGTGAAATTAAATGAAATATTCGTCTGATTCTCCAGTGCCCTTCAGGACAAGGTACTCTGCACACCTACTCAGTTTGGGCAACAGATTATTTCAGCCCCAAGTCACGTCGTTGTCTCCTAAAGCCCAGCAAGCACCCATACAAGTGGACCATGATGTTGCATTGATTGAATAAAGTACTTTTCATCTTCTCTGATTATTAGGTTACTTTGTTTTCCGTTTTTACCTCTCCAACTTATGAATCTTTGTTAGTCTGAGCACAAAGTCCAACCTGTTCTCCAAGACACAGGAGAACTTTGGCTTGTGCTCCAGATAGCGACCCTTTACAAAAGTGTTCAAATGTGCATAAATCTACTGTTTGCTGAGTGTAGTTTTAATTTGTGCTCCATTTCAGTGTCCTAAGCCAGTCATTGCAGCAGTCCATAATGCGTGCATTGGAGGAGGTAAGTGCTTGAGTGATTTTAATAATCTAGAAGGTTCATTTTATGAGGGATAGAATCCTCACCACATGAGCTACTGACTGACTCTTGCATGTCTCCATACTGTCGTGAAAGTATATAATTTTGTAATTCATGTGGTCAGAGAGGTAGTTTAGTTTTAGGGACCCAGTCTTCAACGTAGATAAATGGAAAATCTGACTAAGAAAATGGTAAACAATCCCAAAATAAGTGCAATTCAGACAGACCCGGATAATTACAGTTCGAAAGGAAAGTTTCATTGTGAGAGATTAGTAAAGGTAATTCACACCCAAAATTATAATGGCTACATTGGATCTATCTGGAGGAGTCAGTTTGCCTCAGCAAGTATTTTGAATTAATTCATGTACATTCCCAGATCAAAAGAATTAAAATGACTTGTAAAGGGATTTCTTGATAAAGCCAGTAAGTCTAGAAAAATTATTATAGTCACCATCAGAAATATAAATTATACATATGGGTCCCAAATCAAAGGATTGTTTTGAAGGTGAAAGATAACTAGCTGAGATCTCTGTCTGGAACATCCATGTATGGCCGTATGATACGGAGTCAGGGAGTAATCTTCTGTGTTTTGGGTTCACAAGCAGAGAGAGAGAGAATGTCAATAGGGCTTAGCGTGGAAGGCTGTGAAAGAGCAATGGTATATCTACCAACAGCCAGAAGAAGGAGTAGAGAAGCCATTAGGAACCAAAGATGTTCTTTAGTTTGAAGTAACTAAGTGGGAATTATGAGTGAGGCCTATGCTTAGGACAACAACGCCAGGTTCATCAGTACTTAAAAATTGCCAGGTCTGTTTAGCAAAGCTAGTGGAAGCAATCAGCAGTACAATCCTTGCAGAAAGAGGTCTAAACATCAGTCTGAGGAGAATCAGAGTGAGTTCCTGAAAGCTGTGTCACACTTTGGTTTGGTCTCAGAAGAAGAAAAAGATTCTATAAAGTATATGGAAAGTCTTGTGTTGAATTGAAGACAGAATGGGTCATTACAATTATCAGCTTTGATAAATACAGGTTTGCAAAATATAATGTGAAATCGGTAGGGCTTTGTCTAAATCTTGTATAGTGGAAATTTTTGTTTAAAATGTGAAACTTCGTGATGTCGTTCTTTCAGGAAATAGCTGGGAGTTTGATTTTTTTAAAGAAGTAATTTATAGTCTCCTGTGTGCTCATCATTACACTGATATGTACAATAAAGGGCTTGTTTTAAAGGAGAGGTTCTGGACATCTTAAATGCATGGAAACTCCTCACCAGCAGTCCGAGGGTATTATTGCAGACTATCTGTGGCTCAAGCATTCGATTACCAAGATCACTGCTCTACCTGCTTTGAGGTGGCTGTAAATGAACAACCTAGTGAACTATTTTGAAGATGACCAAGGGAGTTCTCCTGTGATGTTTTGGTTAAGTTTATCTTTCAATCAAAATTATAAAGATAGATTGTCTTGTTATTGTGGTTTTGCTGTTAGTAGGAGCTTACTGTGTACAAATTGTCTGCCCTTTTTAGATGTTTTTAATCAACCTGTTCAGACTTGTTATGTCACACCTCCCTAAGGGCATTGTGGGTCTAGCTAAAGCACTTGGACTGCAGTGGTTCAAGGAGGCAGCTCACCATCATCTTCTTAAGGGGCAGTTAGGAATGGGCAGTAAATGCTAGCCAGTTAGTGACACCCACATCCTACAAGTGATTTTAAAAATACACCTCTGGAGTAGGTGAGATTTCAGCCGAGGCTTTCTGGTCCAGCGGTGGGGACACTTGCACTGCAACTCAAGAGCCCCCTACTCTGTTACTTCTTACATTGCACTCCATTCTAAAGTCCACTGGGGTGTGTTGAGACAATTGATGGCCCAATATAATAGTGGATGACTTTCAAGTGATCTTGGAAGTGTTGGTGCTTGCACCTGCCAATCTGTTCTTTCAGACAGTATAGGATTGAGAGGTGCTGTTGAAAAAGCTGCTCATTCTTCTCTTACTCCAGCTGGATATTCTCGCCACATGACAGTTCAGACTCACTGAGTCCAGGTTAATTATTGACTTGTGTATGTCTCTGGTCAGAGTCTTGTTGGCTGTAACGTGACTAAGTGTTACAAAGGACAAGTGCAGGACAATTCACAGGGTCAATCTGTGTTCACTCGTCCACTTAGAATGCATTTTGCTGTGAGATAATGGACCTACAGTGATCATTTGGGATGGTAATATTCTTTTGAAATTATAAATGGAACATCAAGCAGACTATCATTTATCTAAGACAACACAGTATGGAGCTGGAGGAACACAGCAGGCCAGGCAGCATCAGAGCAGCAGGAAAGTTGACGTTTCGGGTCGGGACCCTTC